GGGGGGCCTCAGCCTATGCCCGGATTACCCTGTTCTGACGGCGTGCGTCCACAGCCGGTCCCGACACCCAATCTAACAAACTGACCCGTGCTCAGACATTCGATCAACGGAACCGCCGCGGACAGACAGAAGAGGCGTGTCCTCTCGCTGTTCCTTCCATGTCCTTCCTTCTATGGTGACTGGGGCAGGAAGTGAGCGAAATCTCTTCAAGGGGGCACCAGAAATAAAAAGCTTTTCCAGTGGTGGGGACGGGTTACAGATTCTGTGTTATTGGCCCCTCTGATCCCTCTCGGTACCGGTGTGGCCAGGAAGTCTCCCCAACAAGGGCAACGCCTGGCATACAAATCAGACACGGGGCGAGTGTCGGGGTTTAGATGAGGGGTCAGAGCGGTAGCAGTGACTCTGCTATTCGCTGTGACAGCTCGATGACCCGATGTTAAATGATACATTTCAAGCACTAGATACAAATGTATCTCTGAGTGAAATGTATCAGTTCTGATCCTCTAGGTGCACTCAAAGACCTTATGTCAGCGGTTCTCAACCTTTCTAGGGCCGGGGCCCCTTGGTAACATTTGCCAAGTTGTGGTGACCCCTCCCCCCCCCCAACGGTAACATTTAGGGTTGACGCGGCTGCTGCAGCGACATCTGGCGGCGTGGCGGGAGAACTGACACTGCTGCACTAGGAGAAGGCTGAGGAGGACCGAGCACAGCAGAAATCACGCAGCGACCCCACAGGTTGAGAACCACTGCTGTTGACCAAGGTAGTTGCGCTAGGATATATAAAAAAATCAAAAACCAAAATACAGAAAAAATAGGAAAAGATATAATAGTATCAAAAATACAAAAATATCAAAGTATCAAAAAATGTAATCCAAAAGATTATAATCCAGCTTTATTAATAATAACGATGATAATAATCACTAGATGGGGACCTGATGGAGAACTGCAGGTCCCCCTCTGCTGATTGACAGCAGCAGTGGGCGGGTGCAATAGCTAGTTTGCTATTGCAAAGTGAAATAGCCAATAGGAAACTAGCTATGCATCCCAATGCTGATTTCTTTATTTTTTTTCTGACTTACGGCGGCCGGCGGCTCCGATGTCAGAAATGAAATAAAACGTTCGCAGCGAAAGGTTTACTCTGCTCGATCGAGCAGAATAAACCTTTCCAGGAGAACGCGTTTCTCTCCCGGGCGGCCGGGAGCCGCTATCTAATAGCGGGAGACCCCCAGCGACCCCCGGCAAATTGTCATTCGACCACCGAAGGGGTCCCGACCCACAGGTTGAGAACCACTGCCTTAAGGTCTCGTTCACACCTAGGAGTATTGCATATGCGCGACCGTCGCGAGTTTTTTAACCGCGACTCGCGGTAAAAAAAGTCGCGCGACAAACGCGCGTTTCCGAAGGCTACTTGGCTGTATCCCAATGGAAACGCACTACAAAACGGCCCAAAGTAGTACCGGGACCTTTTCAGGCGCGGGCCGTTTTGTAGCGCGTTAGGGACGGGCGGAAATACGCCGAGGTGGGAACCAGACCATTGAATACAATGGGATTTATATTTTTGAGCGTTTTGTAGAGCGTTCGTCGAGCGCAGAACGCGCTACAAAACGTTCCGGTGTGAACGAGGGCTCAATGTCGCGCCATTTTCACGTCGCTCAGTGTGAACGGGGCCTTAGTGAGATCTGATGCCGACACGCTGTCAGGATCCGTCTCTAAAGTTATTATTCGCTGTTCTTAAGCTTGGAGCGGCCTGATAATAACTAAAAAAATTTAAAAAAGTTAATTTATTAGGCCGTCATAGTGACCGCTCGATATAAACTGACAACAACAACAACAAAAAAGTGTACAAAAAAATTAGGAAAATAAAACTTTTATATATAAATATATTTGTATACTATCATTATTATTAAAAAAAATTCTAAAAATAATAATAATAATAATAATCAAAACTTGCTGATGTGGAAGAATCACAGAGCAAAAATGTAGAAAGTGTGTCAGTCATTTAGGAACAGAAACTAAAAACTCGCTCAGTCATGAAGGGGTTAAAGGAGAAGTACGGGGTCGGGGCATTCCCCCCCATAGTTCTCCTCGGGGTCACAAACTAGTGTCCTCCCGTCACCCTAAGCTCAGTATATAGGGAGCTACAGCTCGCGGTATACTGAGACGCCGCAGCCGGGACAATTGTGCCTGGCTCCGCCCAGCTGCGTGAGTGACAGCTGGCTCTGCCTATCTAGAGGCTGTACCCGCCCCCTCCCCCGTCCATTCCACCAGTCAGCGCTGGAGGGGGGAATCCAGCCCCTCCCCGTCACGGCTCTCTGCAGGGACAGGATCGAGAGGTGAGCGAACGTCGGTATGTGTTCTCTCACCTCCCGATCTACTGAGCCGACCTGTGACAGTCTCATTGTCACACGTCGCCCCGAGCTATGAGGGGAGTGACAAGCCCCTCCCCCCTCGTAGTTCTCCTGCAGAAGTCACAATCTCCCCTTCCTCTGTAATGAGGGGACATTGACCTCCGTACCCCTCTATTATAGCATGGCGCCGGTCTGCCGGAGGCATCACATCTACATAGTGGGCATGACATGGACTCCGTACCAGTGACCCCTCCCAGGCTCCTCACCACGCCAGTGCAGCTTCAGTCACAACATGTACACCAATGAATGTGAGGCCCCACCCCTTTCACACGAGGCCCCACCCCTCGTTAGAGGCACTGGGGCAGATGCAGTTAGCAGCCCCGCCGTGGCACGCGTCAGTTAGCTCCTCCCCATTTTCTCATCGATGGAATTGAATACAAGGTGCTGACCTGCATGATGAAGATGGAGGAGATGCGAATGGCGCAGCGGATTCCCTCCAGACACAGATTAGCGACTTCATTATCATCGCAGTTCTGGAGGCCGATGCTGAACGCAGCCAGCAATGGAGTCCACACCAACTGCGGAGAGAAAGCACGACGCACAATAACAATGGCGTCATCATATACTGCAATGTATGAAAGCAACAATTACTGGAGCAGCCACTCCCCCCTC